CTCACTGTTGTGATCTATATTCATTATAACACGTGCAATTACTCTTGTGAAGTTATTTTTCAAAAAGAAGAACATTGATTCTTTTTATATAAATATTGTCTAATGGACCTAAATAGAAGGCCAACTGCTGGGACTGGTGATGAAAGTAAGAGAAAGTGATGTGGTCTAACATTTTGATGATTCTCTGCCAAAAAAAAAAAAATAGTTTTATAAACCACCCTAACCCTGTATTTATAAACTCATTAAGAGCTTGAAGAACTCCCCCTCTTTTTACTGGGGCTATGATACACACAAGGGGTATTCACAAATCTAAGGATTCTTGAAATTCTCAGACTGTGTTCCTTCCAAGTAGCCAGAATCTGCTGTTCACTTAGTGTATAATATGCACGAGGGATCAGGGCCTTGTTCAAGCAGTGAAGTAGTACTTAGCACAATGCATTTTAAGGCTGGTATAGATGTTAAGATGTGTGTGTGTGTGTGTGTGTGTGTGTGTGTGTGTATGAGTGTGTGAGTGCATTATCAGTTATATTTCTCAACCTTTAACAAAGTTTAGAGTATTTTTCTTCTGTCAGGATAGTCAAAAAATTATAACTTTCATTAACTAGTAATCCATAAATACTCTTTTCTGTTTCATCACCCCTCAGACATTTGTGCCAAAAAGAGAAGCATGAGGCTTTTCTTTAGGATTTTTTTTTTCCTCCTAGCTTCTCCCTTGCTTCTTTCACACATCTTCCTGTGGCCTATGGATTTTCACTTACTGTTGTCTTAATTCTCCACAATTCCTTATTTGAAAAATAATGAAGACACAAGCATTGGAACATGTCCAATAGAAAGGATTAATGAGTCTGTTTTACAAAGCACATAGGATTGCTCATTCATTTATTCACTCAACAAACACTAATTGACCATCTACTAATGCCATATACTGTGGTAGGCACATGAATACGGCTGAGAGACAAAATCCATGCCTTAGTGTCATCCACAGTAGTGAAGTATGGTGACAGCTATGAATGAGTACAGACTAACTCAGCCCGGAGTTTGGGAAGGCTTTTGGAATGAGAGAACACTTAAGCTGACTTTCTAAGGATATATGTAGGAACTAGCCAAATGGAGAAGAGGAAAGGATGCTCCAGGGAAAGGGACCACATTAAGGTTAGAGAACATGGAGACATAGGAGAAATGTAAGTGGCTTCTAATGACTGGCCCCCAGGGCACAGGTAGGAAAGGGAGTGGGGAGAAGTGCAATTAGCTAGTGGGGTGGTCAGGAGCCAGATCGTGAAAAGCCATTGTAGCAACTAAGAAATTTATCCCAAAGACTGTGAGATCCTATTGACGCAGGAATTGATATAACCAGATTTTTTGTTTTAGAGAAATGACTCTTCCAACTATGTGAAAAATGGATTGAAGGGGGTAAGCCTAGAGGCTAAGAGACCAGATGTCTGTACTTATTTGTGAGTGACCAAGAACAGTATCTTCTGTAGAATTAAGATCACCACATGAATTGAATTGGTTGGCCACTTTGTAGCTCCACCTTCAGCCTTTCTTGTTAATTCCCTTCTTCCTCACAGTCTTCCACCACAGGTATTCTTATTAATCCTATGATATATCTTGACTGGAGGGTTTCTCATGTAGGTGATATTTTGTTGCCACACAACTTGAATTTAAATTCCATCATCTAGTTTGCCTTCCATTTTGGGTTTGGTAAACTGCCATGTACCTTTGGACCTCTCCATAAAAAATAATTTATGAACTTGTAAGAGAAGTTGGTGTTCCCAAAGCTAAAGCCAAACCCTTGAGACTGAGCTAGACTTGATCTAAGAAGACATAAGTATGTAAAAGAACTGTTATTCCAACTTGGAAGAAAAATATTGCTCTTGTATTTACTAGGCATTCCCATATTTAAATTCAGACCAACTTCTATCTTCTAGAGGAGTCTACTTGGCTCCTTTAATAGAGCTCCCTGGGGTATATCTTTAGCTTGGAGATTTTCTCAGGTCTTGAGTAATTGTTTGATATGCCCATCTCACCCTCCTCTTCATCCAAGATTTAAAGTAAAAATGTGTCACATAAACAAGGTCTTAAATCTTATCCCAAGAATTTGATAATGACAATACCAGAAGGCCATCTTGGGTCTTGGTTTCCTTCATTAAACAAGCAGATCAAGATTTATTGTAACACGTCAAACACTCCATAGGTCATAGGCATCTTGAGTCATATCATATAAAATAAAGTATTTTTAGATCTCATTCTTAAGAAAAGGTCAGCAGGGCTATGTAAAGGGACCAGAATTATCTTCCTTTTATGGTTTCGTTTATACTGAGAAGATTTTTTAAATTAATCTGGAATTTGCCTTTGCATTTTCCATTTTTTACCACAAATACAAAACCACGAAGGTACAAAGGCTGACTTTTAGGACTCCTCCCATTGGCTTCTGCTAGGGTCAGCAAATCCATATGAAACACTGTGAGAAGGCAAAAGTGCTTTCTGATATCTGTTTGGCAGTGGATATATCCCCTCTCCAATGAGGAACCACTGGAAATTATGGGGGAAGTGTCATGAGAGCATACTAGGGGTCAAAGCGTAATCATGTCTCAGAAATGGCATATGTTGGAAAAGGCCCTACACATATTTAAAGAGGCTCCTGCTAGCACCTCCAAAAGCTACTGCCCTGGTAACCACAGAATGTTTGGTCACTTTGGAGCCTGTGGGTCTGATGTTCTTTCCCAAGCCCTGACATACAACCATGAAAGAGCCAGGTGGCCCAGTCTGCCTGATAAAATGATTTTTTGGTTTGATCTCTAGTCTGATACCAGATGAGTCCCACCAGAGCATCCCATACCAAGGAAAGTAAGTATTCTGAAACAATGGGAATAAATATGACTATATTTCATTTTTATCAAAACAATGAACATTGTTTAAATAGGTTCAACATAGGTTTAAATAGAAGGAAATTTTAAGGCACCCTATTCCATGCTAGAATCAGAGCTCTTTCATGCTTTTGAGTGTTTGGTGAAGGATCCCATGATTTGAAGAAGGCAGAAGAGTTTGGGATGAGACCCCATCTTGTAAGGGTCATCTCTGAAACAGCCTGATTATCTGGTGGGAATGCTATCTCCTTGCTAAAAGCCTGCGGTTAGATTAATGCTAGCATTTGAAAATCTGCTCTGGCCTGATGGTGGGCAGCCAGAGAAGGAATGTGTTTTCTGTTTATCTCTTTAGTGGCAGAAATGTTCATCACAGAAAGACACTGAGCTCCCCGTTTCAAGCAGGCCTGGAAGCTGTGCAGTCTGTAGCCTGTGAATGTACACACCAGCTCAGAATGATGAGAAAGAGCCTGTGTTCACAGCCAGTTGCCTGCACTGGGTGATGGGTCAGTCAGTTTCTTCAGCTTGATAACAAGGGTAGATCCTGCCACATTGTTCGGAGAGGAAGTCTTACCATCGCCATTGCCTTATCTCCCAGGAATGCAGTTTGAGTTGTGTCTCCTCCTTGACAGCGTGGACCTCAGTAAATTACCAGGGTCTTGACCCAAGAGATGGAAAAGTCCTAAGCGATGTTTTTAGTCTCCTATCTAAAACTGTGTTTACATTTCTTGAACTCTGGCTGACTGATTCATTCTCCTGGTGTTGCAAGAACTTTCTTTATGCATTAGAATTTGTAAGTTTCATTTCTAAGAGACCCAAGTTTCCTTCCAAGCCACAGTGAAGTGAACCTCATCTCAACACAATTCTGCTGGGCTAGATTTGTCCAGAGGATGGATCATGGCCAAGCAGCTGTGATGTGGCAAGCTCAAATGGGGCTAACGGAGGGAGTGCGATGTGGAGGGAAAAGTGTTAGATACTAAGGAGATTTGGGTTCAGGTTCTGGTCTCACACAGTTTCAAGGAATAGCCTTAAACCAATCTTGTGAAACCACTCTCTGGGCCTCAGTTTCCCCAGCTGTTTTAAAAAAGAAATGTTTTAAATCTGTCCTAGAGCCATTTTCAAACAAGAAGAACAGGACAGCTGAGAAACAACAGAAAAGGAAAGGTCAGCCCACAGGGAACGAGTAGAAGCTTCAGGTCAAAGAGACAAAGATGCCATGGGTTCTTAAAAGCAGCAAGCATAGAAATAACTTTTTGGTGGACCCTCAACCCACACTAGAGCCTGGCTAAAACCCTTGTCATAGAGCCATGTGCTTAGCTAAATTTGTTCCTCAAATAAACATTCCTTTATAAACATTAAATTCACTTTCTTGGGGATAAAAAGAAAAACAAAATAAATCCTATCCTTCTGCAGCACGGGGTTTGGGTCTTGGGCACAAAACCGTTCCTGAAAACCTCACTAGTTGTACAACCTCAGGTAGGTTTGTTTAGCTTTCAAGCCTCAGCTTCCACCCCTGTGGAGAGCAGTGATCCTGCAACCGTGGAGGAAAATCATGGCGATTAACACGACATCAGTGTGGGGGGGGCAGCTGCTTTGTGGCAAGCTCCATGAGGTCCCTTAGTCCCCTCTCACCAGCCCTACTTTGGCCTTTGCCTTTGTTTGCCTTATGTTTCCACTTCTCTTGTTGCCCTTCCACATTATAAGGAAAAGGGGAAATCTCTGATCTATCTGGAAGGTTGCAGAAGCATTTTCCTACTTCAGTGAAGTACGATCATACAAAATTTATAGTCAACAGTATCAGCAGATTTTTTTCCATCAATATTTCCTTTTTAATTTCAGCTTTATCTGAATTTTAGTAGCACAAAGAATTTACTTTTGTTCTTTGAAAGAGCAACCAAAACAAGAAAAATAGAAATCTGAGTATAAGTTCGCAACACTAAATATATTTAACATGCTATGTAAACGGTGCTTCTAGAGGGTGCAGGTGTTGTTTGGTGAGTAAATACAAATGCCATAGGTGTGTGTGTGTTTATAATCTTATACACATGAACTAGGTGTGTATGTATATAGTATATATAAAAATTAATGAGACCTAGATCTGACAACTTTGATCCTTTTCTCTGATTTTCACCATAGCAAACACTGAATCCAGAACCCGTCTTCTCACGAATCTTAATGAAATCTCACCTTTGACCCAAAAGCCAGAGAAGCAGGTACAGTATTGACTCTGAATGAGCATGAGACTGGGAGGTAGGACTTTTGGGTTCTTGGGCCGCCTTTGCTGTGTGACCCTGGGTGAGATTCTTCACCTCTCTGGGCCTCATTTGCCTCATCAGTAAAATCACACAGGTTCCTTGGAATGTCTTAACTCAACTTGGACTATTTTGTGTGGCTCTTATGTGCCCAAATGAGTTCAATCAGCCTTTCCCTGACTTCTGCAAAGTCAAAAAGGCAACAGGGAAACACAGGAAGGTATCATCCATCAAGGCAGTAGGCACTAAGACTTATGCTAAAGGGCCCATTTTTTCCCATCCATTTCTCATTCCTAATGGGGAGAAAAAAAAGTAGCATCAAGAAAAAAATGTAAGGGTACTGTGAAGAAAGGAGAAAAATGCTTCATTTGGATGGGCCAAAAATATGTATTAGTGTTTCAAGGATGTACATTCACAAATATGTATAAGTTTGTTCCTTCATTTGAAGCTTTGAGACTGGGACTGTCTTCAAATTCACTTTAGAGAGACAACTCAGGGGGATTGCTAGAGCTGTGCCCAGGGTCTCAGAGAACCCCAAGCAGAAGCAGCACAGCTCCAGGGCACTCTCAGGTCTCTCCCTGCGGTGCGACAGCCTGGGCAGGGAGAAGGGGGCATGATCTCTACTTCTCCCTTATCTCCCACTTCCTGCCACAGCCTGGCTCTCTCCTCTTCCCTCACATTCATTAAAAAACAATAATAAAACTAGTTTTGTTTTCATGTATGTGCCTAGCTGGGTTCTAAGGAAGGATCTGAACTCTCACTGTTAGAACCCCAGGCCTGGGGCAGGCCTCCGCTGAGGTAAAACACAGCTGAGCTGACCCTTCCTGCTACTGAGGAACCACTGAACCAATGTTTGCATTTTTTTCTTTTCTTTTCTTTTCTTTTTTTTTTACATGCCTGCTTTGGAGACAGCCTTTGTAAGGACCTAGAAGGTTTTCTTTTTTTAAGGGAGTCTGTGACTAAGGAAAATAGAACTATGCTACATTTTGCTAATTCCAAAGGCCTTGTGGATGCCTCACATACCCTAAACAGGCTCCAAATTCACACAGCTCTCGCGGCTGCATTTCAGGAGACCTAATATCACCTGCAATAAAACGGTGGCTCAGTCACGTCAAATTAAGCCCTAGACTGAATTATTAACCTTGCAGTCAGGAAGAGGAACACCAGACCGAGGGTCTTAAACTCTAATCCTGGGTTTCCCCTGTGAAGCCCTGGCCATCCAGCTAACTCTGAGAACTTCGTGGGCCTCCTTTGTGAGAGGTGGGCCGTCGCTCCCCACAGAACCGGTGGATTTGTTAAGTCACAGGAGTCTTACTCCCTTTGGAAGTAGTCCCCAAAAGGAAAGCCGTTGGAGGAAATGTCTAGGGAGTGCCACCAGCCCCTCAAACCAGAGAGCATGGGGGTGGGGCTGAGGAAGGGGAGGCGGCTCCCATGCCTCCCCCACCCCTCACTTCTTGAGGCCAATGGCCCTTCACTGGAGTAATCACTGGCTTCAATTTTCACCACTTCCTCCACCTAGTCCATGTAAATGATTAATTTCATGTTTACTATAAAGCATCTGGAAAGGATTTAGAAACAAATTTCTGCCCAGCAGATTTCAGTTCCGTCCCTTGATGGGCTGCGGGCAAATCCAGTGGATTCCTTGCAGGGTTGCCTTCCCACTCTGCAGCAGGCTAGGAGAGCACGCAGAATTGATCTTTATCAGCATCAGCAGTTTCTACTTTTCTTTCCTTTCCATTAATTCCTCACTCACCCACCCCCTGCCTCCCCCTCCCTGGGGTCTGACCATATTAGGAGTTCGGTCGCATAAAACACTTTCACTTTTTTATCATGGCGCTGGCCGCGAGGAAAGGGGGAAAAAAAAAAAAACACCAAAGGTGGACTATTTGGGCGTCACCATGCTTTCACGAGAAGTCACAGACCTGGACTGGGGAAACAATTTCTGTCGGGGGGTGGTGACAGAGCAAGCCCGACGTGACCGGGTTCGTGGCTTCGGCCCCCGGGTGCTGGAGGCTGTCTCCGGACGCCCCCTAGCGGCTGGATTTGAAAGCTCGGCGGCGCGTGGCCTCGCGGCCGGCCGGCGGCGCGGAAGAGAGCGGGAAGGACTCGGGCTCCAGCCTCCCGCACGCGGGCTGGCCAACCCGGCGACCGGCTCCCGAGGCGCCCCCTCCACACCTGGCCGGGCGTCAGGGCCTCGAGGCAAATCCGCAAATAGAAGTGGGAGAAGCCACGACCTCGACAACTTCGACAACTTCCGGGGACTTGGAGGAGGGGAGTAAGTCGTCAAAAGAGGGGAAGAAACTACAAGGGCAAAATGTGCAGATGAAAAGAGCAGTGAAAAAAAAGGAGACAAGCAGACATGTTTCAACTCCAAGCTCCCATTTCCTCTTTCAAATGAACTGCCTCCCCACTGTGAACAGAATCAAGTATTTATGAAGGCATTTTTTCCATATTAATAGCTGCATCTGGAGCATTGCCAGTTCTGAAGTCCTAAAGGTATGATGCCCTTTTTTTAATGCAGGTCCTTCAAACTCCTCACAGAATTTGGTGTTCTCCTTCACATATATTTTCCTTTCTGCCTTGTGGCTCCTCCTCGGGCCTTTCATTTGATTAAGAGAAATTAGTTCCCGCATACCGTGGGGACCGAGTACTGCTCTTACCTCGGCGGCTGACATCAATTGCTAGAGAAGTTTCTCGTCCCCAGGGCCTCTCCGTGTTGAGGCTGCAGGCTGGGTGAGGTGACCAGCACCTAAAAAAGTATTAAAATTGTAAATGGAAATTCCAGCGGGAAACGTTACGTTAACAGATCTATGCTGTAGGTGCAGAAAAAAGCAAAACTTAAAAAAAAAAAGTAAAAAAAAAATTGTGTTAACTATGACAGCATTGCTATTTATGCTCGATAAAGATTACATTCCATTTTAAAAGAAAAACAGTAAGAACCAGTTAGAAAAATAAGCAAAAGACATAAACAATTTATATCAAAAATAATAGCAATAGAAAACAAGGATGGAAAAAGATTTCTCCTGAGTGGCAATTTGAATGCGGATTGAGGCAAACTGGAGGTATCATTTTATATTTGAGATGTATGCCTCCTCTCACTTTTATTTAAATGGTAACACCCAGTACTGCCTATATTTTGGTGAAACAGGTACACTTACTTACACACTTCTGGTGGGTTGTAATTTGGTTTAATCCAGTTGTAAAGCAAAATGGCAAAATAGCTTGTGAAGCATGAAAAAATACTCCTACTCATTTGTTCAGTATTTCTGACTCCTGGGAATTTATCTTAAGGAAATAATTCAGCTGAAAAAAGTTAGTGAAGATGTCCACTGCAGCATTATCTATAATAAGGAAAAATTGGAAACAGCCTAATAGTCCAACATCAGAGAAATGATTACCTTAATGATGCTATATCCCTCTCGGTGAGAGGTTTAATTCATGCATTAAAAAATGATGCTTGTTCATACTAGAAACTGTGATTTAATGCTCATAGTTTCTCAGCCTCCACACCATCAACATTTTGTGCCAGATATACCTTGTCGTGGGGAACTTTCCTATGTGTTGTAGGATGTCGAGCAGCATCTCTAGCCTTTACCCAGTAGATGCCAGGAGCACAGCCCTCCAGTTGTGACAATAAAAAAATGTCTCCAGACCTTGCCAAATGTCCCCTGAGGGGAAAATCACCCCCAATTGAGAACTACTGATTACCTTTTAAAAGTGGAAATCAAAGTGATGTTAACTAGAACTGCAGCTATGTAAAAAAATAATAAATGTACCTATGAGGAAAAGACTTGTCAATAACGCATGCAAAAAAGTGCGGTCATGCTAATTTGAAATTAGGGCTGTGTTGAGTTGAGGTTTTGATTTTAGTTTGCCTTCTTGTTTTTCACTGCTTTTCTTTCTTCTTTTTTTTTTTTTTTTTCTTTTTCCAAAATTCTCCCCGTAAGAAGGAAAAATGAATCAAGCAGAAAACTGGGTTTTTTCAAGTCTGGCTTAAAATGATCTAGAAGTCACAGTAAACAAGTATGCAGCAAGCTAAACAAGGATCAACACCACAGTGCCATTGTTTTTTAACTACTGTTAATTAAAATTATTAAGTTTTTATTAAATTGTTGGGATAGGGTCACCAGAATTCTCCTTTGAAAGATCTTAACCCCTTTTCAGCATTTTATCCCTCTGACCCTAGACTTTGAGGGACAATGAATTTGCCTCTTTTTCTGAAAAGTTTGGATCTCAAACTATGAAACTCTTGTGCACCCAGATCCATCCATGAAAGCTTGGAGCAAGAATAGTCCTTAGCCCACTGGTTTATAGAACTGTCAGGGCAGAGAGGTTGTCAGTAAAGAGTATTAAAGTACATGCTCAAACCTTAATTAGATTTCCCAAGAATCACTGCATCTCTTTGTTTAAAATAAGAAAGAAACAATCTCACCAGTTTTCACATTGTCCGTTTTCTCCCTCTGTTAAGGAAAGCAAACATCCTTTCTCACATGCTTTATCTTGAGTTTTGTTTTGTTGCTTTGTGGGGATTAGAACTTTGGTAGTGTCCTATAAATCCTGTTAAACTGGAATTATGTCCCTTTTTCCCATTTCACAAAGCCACTTCTATTTCAACCTATATTATCTCTTAAGTTCAGGTTTTATGAGTTTTGAGAGTATGAATTCATATTTGATCTTAGGTGTCCTAAATTTACCTCTTTGGGATTTCAAAGAGTAGCCTGTAATTCTAGCACACTAGGATTTAAGTTGAATAAACCTGTGTTTACCCCATCTGTTTCCTTGGTGGTTTCACAGATGGTGTTCATAACCCTTTCAGCCTTCCTCTTGCGGGACAAAAACAAACAAACAAACAACAACATACACATAAAAACCCACCTGTAGACACACTAAGTTTTTGTACAAAAGGGTACAAAGGTAACCTTTTGTTTCAGTGTCCTTCTGAGGCATACCCTGCCTTCTGT